GCAGGTTTCTGGGGTTTTGTTTAGCTTCTATATTTGCAACATAGTTGCTTAGAGTTGCAGCTGAGAGGCCGGCAAGTCAGGCGGGGAACGTTGGAGTCCGCTGTCACTGGAGCAAGCAAGCCTCCCTGTTCGCTTCAGTGCATGGCTGCCGGCCGCCATCTTGGCTGGCAGTTAATTTGCATGTCGCCCTGATTAGCCAATGGGAAGGGTAGCGGATGTACGGCTAATTACCATGTTTCTCTTTTATTAGATAGGATGAGTACTAAACATTTTCTTGGTGGAAATTTACTTTATAACTTGGGGTTTTTATTTCAATCACTTTTATGGAACAAATAAAATGTTTTTTTCTGATGTTGAGAGAGAGAGAGAGAGAGAGAGAGAGAGAGAGAAAATGAATTCTGGAGTAACTAGAAAGGATGTTAGCCATCATCAAATACCACTTTCATTTCTAGAAACTTCATACCCTACTGTTTTCATGCAGTGAATTGTTTGCTATCTCCCAAATTAGTTGTGCAGTGGCATTAGAAAAGAGAACATTGAGTTCATCATTCCCAAAGCTCCCTGACATTGATGTTTATTAAGCTTAATTGAACATTTAATGACATAATGCATGAGTGAGGCAAAGAGGCAATGTGGTAAATTAGAGACAGCATTTGTGTGAGTTGGAGACCAGAATTCAGGACTTCACTCTACATCTCAGATTATCAGTTTTCCCATCTGCAGAATGAGGGATGACAGATAAGGTGCATAAGTTGCCACACCCTGCTTTCTAACCATGACTGACATTACTAATCACTCATGGCATTCTTTTCTTCTGAACCCGAAAACAGCTCCAGATTCCTTCCCAACACAGTGCCCAAAACAGCGAGTAGTTAGTCACCATTGGCACCCAAGTTGAAATCTATTTGTCATCTTTGGGTATGACAATCTGTAAAGACTCTTCCAGTTCTAACTCCCAGAAATACACCATCAGAAATTTGAAAGCTGTGCCCAGTTCAATATGTACTTTGGTCTTTCCAGGCTCCCTGTTCTGTAAGCATTGCATTTATATCACATGGGATCCTGGGGCACTGATGTCTTCATACCCTACTGTGAAGCTCCCCGGCAGACAGCCTAGTCTTGGCCTTCAGGTATCCTTGCACTTGTGTAATGAATGCTTTCCCCAGTGAAGTTTCCTTTTTCTTTGCACATTCACACAAGCTCTTGGGTATGGAATCTAAATTCCTGGCTATTCAAACATCTTCCCCAGCCATGTGTGTTGTTGAATGCAAAGAGTTTATAAAGAGAGGGAGTTCATACCTGCTCCTTGACCACACCCAGCACTTGTCTGAGCTCATTCTGTATTTCGTAATTGATTTCTCTCCTTCCTGATGATTACTCAGCAGGAGAAGAACCTAAAGCATTCATCTTCAGTTCTCAAACATGTGCTTGTCTCTGAATCTCCACATTGTACATTTGGGTGTTGTTTATTTTATAATACAAATAATTTATAATTTTGTGTGTTCATTTTATTACCACTGTGTAATTCTACAGTTATATATTGTGTAATTATGAGCATGCAAAAAAGTGTTGTATTCAAAATTTTAGATGCCTTCAGCTACTATTTTCAAGACTTGCACCCTAATGAGTATCAATTCAACATGTCCTTGTATGTCATCCTTGATCTTGAAGTCAGTGGGAAGGAATGCTGTGCTTGTGAGGTAGGACCAATGTGATCCCTCGGTGTAGCATCTCAGTGGGATCATTTTACATCTTCTTTTACCACTCAATGCAACCAGAGCATTTAAAGGCAAAGCCTTAGCCATGAGTTCCTTTGAGACAATATATTTTCCTTTTACCTGGCAGCTAGTATCCAAGGTATAGGATTGTAATTTCTAAGATTCATAAAGATAGTTTTAAAGTAACTTTGCTGAAAGGGAATAAAAGAAAGGATGGTAATCTTAATTTACTAGTCATGTGTCATCATTTACTGGGAATAATTTGTAAAGAGAATAAAAGCAGCACGTAATACCAAATGATTAAGCAGCATAAAGTATGTTGCCATCCCACCTACAGTAGTGAGCGTATCATCCTGGAAAAGGGAGTGAATGGCCACAAGTGTGCCCCTGGCACAGCTGTATGGCCTTCTCTGAGCTGGTCTAGATGACATCCTGTTCTGCACACTGAATGAACGCAGCAACCAAAAGTGTATTTAAGAGCTATTGTCTTTTGCACTGATTTTCACAGATATTATAAAATGTGAATATGATATTGTCAAATGAGCCAATGTGGCAACTCGGATGCTCATGATGAAAGGTCTGGCCATTAGTCAATATTGTACTTTTTTGCAGTTGATTCTTTCAGAATCTATATTAAGTGTAAAAGGAACAAACATAAGATTCAATACAGCTTAGTTAGAAATAAAGCCACAATATGAACTCCTGGATAATAAGGATCATGTGTTTGTCCTCTAAGCTGGCCTTCACCCCTGGCAAAATAATCCAGGGACTTTGGGTGTCTTAATCCCTGAACTTCAATTTGCTTGTCCTTAAAATGGGGATAACAGAAGTACCTGCCTCAGAGAATTGTGAAAATTTAATAATATATGTACATTGCTTAGTACAGACCTTATAGGACTTGTTATAGGGCCTTGTTATTATAGTTGCTACTACGACTACTGCTTCCAACATTAAGGGAAAAAAGCTTCACTATAGATCTTGTCTCCATTGTCCATAAAATAGTTCCTATTCTTTCGCAGGACTTCTAAAGCCATTATCATCTTATGTGAGCAGCTCAGTTTCCTATGACTCTTCTTCCTGCCCCCTGAACTACAGCCATTGAACATTCCAGAGCTTTCATATCCCTGCTTTCTCTGCCCCAGAGTCACTTCCTGTAGATCATTGTTAAGGACCCCACCCCCACCCCCACCCCCAATATATTTTTATTGATTTCAGAGAGGAAGGGAGAGGGAGAGAGAGAGATAGAAACATCAATGATGAGAGAATACTGGGGATCTAGCCCGCAACCGGGCATGTGCCCTGACCAGGAACTGTGACCTCCTGGTTCATAGGTTGACGCTCAACCACTGAGGCACACTGACCTGGCTGTTAAGGACTTTTTAAATGCCCCTTCTTTGAGAAGCCGTTCCCAACACTCCTGTGATGTGCCTTGCCCTCCTGTCTGTGTACCAGTTGTAACTCATTACCTCGTACTGTTGTTACTTGTTTACCTATCTAGCATCTTTGCTAGTTGTGAAGATCAGAAATTGTTACTTCATCTCCATATTCTTCTGGTGCTTGACACATCAGTTCAACAAGACTGATGAGTCCATGGATCAAACGTGAGCAGAAGTACTGTGGATACTAAAAATGTTTTGGAAGATAATTAATGAACATTTATGGTTAATTATTTATTAAAACCTCATTTAGTTCATAGTAGTGAAGACCAATGACATCAAAAGACATTTTTTATTTACTTCTGATTCATCTGTAGAACACATTTAATATGATCCTTTATGAAAATTGATCTTGCTGTTCTGTTTTTCTTTCATCCTTCAGGTTCTAATTATAGCCACCCTTGCCATAACTTTTGATTTATATTTGGAAAAATACTGTCCAGAAAAAAATGATAAAATTCTTCCTCATGGTGAATAAACAAGGGCAGACCCGGCTGTCTAAGTACTATGAGCATGTGGATATTAATAAGCGTACAATTCTGGAAACAGAAGTCATCAAGAGCTGTCTCTCTCGATCCAGTGAACAAGTAAGTTTCCAATTCTCTTTATCTCTGCATTCAACTCATCGGTGGCATATCTGTTACTACCATGTCTCGGGGGGCATTGTTTTCTTTGAACTACATTCTTTCAACAGCTATTAGGGAAAATAACAAGTGAAATGAAGGCTGAAGCATAGCTCTCCTTACATCCCTTTAAGGAAAATAAAAACAAAGCAAACCAGAAAAAGTCTTGGGTTCATATTTAGGTCAGCATATTTGTCTCAATGCAACATGGAAGCGGCACCTCAAACTTGTTCCTGCTGATAGACATATCTTCTTTTTTTGTTTGTATGAATTCAACCCTTGGAACTCTTAGGAGCACTTGTAGCAGGTGGTTTTCTTTAAGCCAAAAGTTGAAGATCAGATGACCAGTATAGAGGTAAACACTCAAGACACACTTTGTGCCAGAGAATAATAATATGATTCTCATATGTGGTGCAGTTTGTTTCTGCTTATTATTTTTGTGAATTTGCCACCAACATAATACTGGAACTAGTGATTTTAAAACAAACTTGATTTGACCTGTGTTCTTTTATTATATAGATAAGAGAAATGGAAGTTAAAAAAAAAAAAAAAGAAACAACAAATCCATTCATTCGGCCAAAATATAGGTTAAATTAAATCATTAAATCATTTAAAAATGGGAATTTTTTAAAACTGAGTTTACGTTTACAAAGAACTTTGAGTGGATAATTATTTAATCCAGGTCCTAAACTTTGAATCTATTGGAAATCACTGAACAAACTGAGGCAAAATCAGAAAGCTTGTTTAAAACACCCATTCATTTAGCCAGTTCTCCATTTCACTGCCTAGGTAGAAAGGCTGGCTGTGGGAACCACTGCTAAGTCATAAATATTAAGCTACATCAGTGCTTCAGAAGTTAATGCGTTGGAACTGTGTTTCCCTTGTCTTCTAAATTGATTTTCCATTTGGAACATCTCAAGAGTTTTCTTTGTATTACTACTTTAGCCTGCCATGGAACACACTGCTTTGCCTAGTTGTCAAAGGAAACAGAAACTATTAAAGGACTTTGTTAATAGCCACATAATTTAAGTAAAGGTAGGCACACTCCAGAAGCACTCATGCTTGAATCTTCCTATAATTTCAACTCCATAATTTCAAACATCCCTTTCACTTAAAGGTTATTCTTGTTAAATATGTGCTTTTGAATAAATATACTGTTAGATATTTTTGAAGCACTCTAAATTATTTTAGACTTTAATAAGAATCCACTGGTGTTTTGTCATAATCAGGCACAATCTCAGCTTAGTTTATATTTTATCCTCAAAGTACTTTGATACTTTTTAAAAATACATATATTTTTTATTGATTTCAGAGAGGAAGGGAGAGGAAGAGGGAGAGAGAGATAGAAACATCAATGATGAGCCCTAGCTGGTTTGGGTCAGTGGATAGAGCATTGGCCTGCGGACAGAAGGGTCCCGGGTTCAATTCCGGTCAAGGACACATGTGGACTCGATCCCCAGTAGGGGGCATGCAGGAGGCAGCCAATCAGTGATTCTCATCACTGATGTTTCTATCTCTCTTTCCCTCTCCCTTCCACTCTGAAATCAATAACATTGATCAGCTGCCTCCTGCATGCCCCCTATTGGGGATCGAGCCTGCAACCCAGACATGTGACCTAACCCAAGAATTGAACTGTGACCTCCTGATTCATAGGTTGACGCTGAACCACTGAGCCACACCAGTTGGGCGCTTGATGCTTTTTTTTAATGTCAAAAACTTCTGAGAAGCTTTGAAAATGTTCCTCAGTTCATTAAAATAGGTTGTGTTTCCTTGAAAGATCCAACTGAGTACAAACCACCCTGGCTCTACAGTTAGCCAAAGGCTGAGAATGGTCCTGCACTTACTACCTTTATCCTAATTTTAAATAAAAGCCTCACCTCCTCCATTTTATAATTTGTCAGGTGGCTTCCATGGAAGAAATTCCATGATCAAAATGTGCAACTTCATTCTCAGGTGCATCCGGGCAGCCAAGAGCAACATCTTCAGTGCAAAAAGCCGTACACTCACGTTTGGCCAAGCACACCCAAAGTCCAAGGGAAGGGCAGCACTGTGCTTTCAGTTGGCTCCCCAGTTCCTGTCCACCCAGTGCCATCCCATTATCCTGTGTACAGTGACTGTAGGAGAGAAATAAATGGGCAGGGAGTTGTTTTATCCACAAGTCAGTGATGGTAAGCTAGTTAGGAATTCGTATGAGGCAATGTTTACAATGAAAGATTTATCTAGCATTTGCCACACAAAAACCATCTTCATCTTTTCTTTATTTTTAAAAATATATTTTTATTGATTTCAGAGAGAAAGGGAGAGAGAGAGAGATAGAAACATCAATGATGAGAGATAACCATTGATCAGCTGCCTCCTGCATGCCCCCTACTGGGGATCGAGCCTGCAACCCAGGCATGTACCCCTGACCAGAATCGAACCAGGGACCCTTCAGTCCACAGGCCGACGCTCTATCCACTGACCCAAACCAGCTAGGTCTCAAAAAGCCATCTTTAAATGATTTATAAAAGAGTCTACATTGATTCTATGGAGCTAGGAAAAACAAATAGAGATTTTATTTATTTATTTATTTATTTATTTATTTATGGCATGGGTGTCTGCTACATATAGTTGGTTCTTCAGTGACGATTAAATAGTACACAACTGAATCTTTAATTGTTTCCCAAAAAACCTAGGGGAGGTGAAAAGAAGAAAATCTTTATTGTGTTGGGTTATTTCACATGGCAGACAGTGTAAAATGCTGAGTTCAGTAGTTTTGCCTGCTGAGTTCCACACAGAGCCCACAAAGGAATGAGAAGGAGCACAGGTGGGAACCCGTGGGAACACTGAGCCCTTGTTCCAAGACCACTTCCTCACCTCCCACTAGAGATGCTTCCAAGTCGTTCCCTCAGTGTTGTGAGGAGAGACCAACAAAGGCGTGTACCATTTTAATGTGCATTTCTAAGAATGTGTTGACAGGTACTCAAATCAGAAGCTAAAAATTATGCAAGCCATTTTGAGGAAATCCATTTCAACCCTAGGAATTAATATGTAATTGTGTTTTGTCTAGTGCTCTTTCGTTGAATATAAGGATTTTAAGCTGATATATCGGCAGTATGCAGCTCTCTTCATCGTGGTTGGAGTTAATGACACCGAGGTAAGATAACAGAAGAGCCTGTGGAAGATGCCAGGAAGTTAGGCCTAACAGTCTGATTTTTATTCCTCCTCACATTGACATTTTCTTCCCTACTTGCCTCTCTAAGAATTACTTAGGCTCTTTGCAGGATTTTGGTTTCTCTCAGGGCTAGGGAAAGCTGTGTGGAAGAGAAATACCTTGGATTTTTATTGGATTACTAGTAAATGAGCAGCTTGTAGAGAAGCACAAAACCACAGAGGGCCTTCCTCGACCCAAAGCAATACTGGTGTCCTGCCCTTGTCCCGTGGTGCACAGTGGGGCAGTTTAGACAAGTGTAGTGGCCAAGCTATTGTGGCATTAAACATAGGCTGACATATCAGAGGCCACAGCAAACTGTGAATATGATTCTGTTGTGGTTATGTCTCCTCAGATTTAAGTTCACCTTTTCAGAAATGTCAGGCCCAATCAACAGCACCTTTGGCCATGGACTCTCTGAAAGGGTGATCTAAAATCCTTTAAATCTCTGTTTTTTATCTGTGAACAAAACTGGGAGGTAGTTTCCGCATCTTCACAAGTGGAAAAGTGATGGCATGAAGAAACTGAAAAATTGCTTCAGCCAGTTGGTGGTGAAGTCAGGGAGTAGAGCTCAGAATTCTGCACTAGACTTGGTCCGGTTTCAGTCCAGCTAGATTCATTATGGACATTAGAAAAACCTTAGCGGTTACGGTTTTCTACATTTCTCCTCTTAATAAACTTCTTTTAAACGAGTGAGTTATAAAACTATTCTGAACAGTTGTCCATGGGAAGCTACCTTGCTCACGTCTGTATTCCACGCCATGTGTGCCGGGGCAGCTCCCTGCCTGAGTCACACATGGGCCATACCAAAACTGATTGCATCCTCCCTTTTTTATTTCAGAATGAGATGGCAATTTATGAGTTCATCCATAACTTTGTGGAAGTTTTAGATGAGTACTTCAGCCGAGTGGTAAGTCTAATGACTAAAACAGGGTTTTTGTCCTCAGGCCCATTTCTCAGAATTGGTTCTATATCAAGAACATGTGTTAATATGGAGCTTTAATATGTAAACGTTAAAACTCAAATGATGGCAGATTTCCTTTACCTTTCCTTCTGGCTCATGCAGAGTGTTCTGAACCTATGTATGCCTTAGTTCTTTATAAAGAACCATTTCTACAAGACTAAGAACATTTTATGTATTTCTCAGTTAAGAGATTTTGCTATCTAATTTGCTCTCTTTTCTTTCTTGTGCTTCCCCTTGTAAAATACTAGGTATCTTTTTAATTTAAGTCATGGAAATTAAATTAAACCCTTGCTTTGAAGATCAAAACCAACTCCTCTTAAGGAATACATGAGTTCCTTTCCAACAGTTCTACTTAAAAAAACAAAAACAGCTGTATTGAAATATAATTTACATACTATACAATTCACCCTCTTTTTTTAAATATTTTATTGATTTTTTTACAGAGAGGAAGGGAGAGGGATAGAGAGTTAGAAACATTGATGAGAGAGAAACATCTATCAGCTGCCTCCTGCATACCGACTACCGGGGATGTGCCCGCAACCAAGGTACATGCCCTTGACCGGAATCGAACCTGGGACCCTTCAGTCCGCAGGCTGACGCTCTATCCACTGAGCCAAACCAGTCAGGGCCAATTCACCCTCTTAAATATATACTTTTTAGTATTTACATTATCTGGGATACAGAGTTGTGCAACCATCACCACAATCAATTTTAGAGTATTACATCACCACAAAAAGAAACACAATACTCCTTAGCATTTCCCTCCCACTTACCTCTCTCCACCTGCTACAGGCCCTAGGAAGTTAGTAATCTACTTTCTGTCTCTATAAGTTTACCTATTCTATGGTTTACCTGTTCTAGACATTTTGTATAAATAGATTTGTACCAAGAAGATTAACATGACCCCCACACAAGGATGACATGCAAATTCCTGAATAGAATTGTACAATATGTGGTCTTTTGTGGCTGGCTTTTTTTTTAACCTAACATTTTCAAGATTCATCAGTGTTGTAGCATGTACTAGTATTAGTAATTCTTTCCTTTTTATTGCCAAATAATATTTCACCTTATGGATATACCACATTTTGCTTATCCACTCTTCAGTTGATGGGCATTGGGTTATTTATACTTTTTGGCTATTGTGAATAATGTTGCTATGAACATCTGTGAACACATTTTTGTGTGGAATCATCTTTTTCCTTCTCTTGGGTATATACCTAGGACTGGAATTGTTGGATTACATGGTAACTCCATGTATACCATTTTGAATTGGTGCAGCCACTATGGAAAACGGTATGGAGGTTCCTCAAAAAATTAAAAATAGAACTACCATATCACCCAGCAATCCCACTTCTGAATATATATCCAAAAAAATCCAAAACAGTAATTCAAAAAGATAATATGCACCCCTGTGTTCATTGCAGCATTTCAACAATAGCCAAGATATGGAAGCAACATAAGTGTCCATCAATAGATGATTGGATAAAGAAGATGTGGCACATATACACAATGCCATATTACTCAGCAAAAAAAAAAGAATGAAATCTGTCCAGGGATTGTTGCTCACTGATTAAGTGTCAGCCTGTGAACCAGGTCCTGGTTTGATTCCCCATCAGGGCACATGCCCAGGTTGTGCACTCGATCCCCAGTGATTCTGTCTCATCATTGATGTTTCTGTCTCTCTCTCCCTCTCTCTTCCTCTCTGAAATCAATAAAAATTTATATATTTTTAAAAAATCAGTTTTCCATAAATGTAAGGGTTTATTTCTAGACTTTCAGTTCTGTTCCAATTATTTGTATGTTTATCCTTCTGCCAGTACCACACTGTCTTCCTGACTTTAGCTTTGTAGTTAGTTTGAAATAGTCTTTTAAAAGAATCAGTAAAGATGTTTTACTCTGTTACGTAGGCCTTCCCCTGCCTTGGTTAGACATTCTTGAGAAGTAGAGGTAGCACAGGATGATTTTTCAAAGTTGTTTTGTTTATTACATTTTCCTTTTATTTTTATTTATTTATTTTTTAAATATATTTTTATTGATTTCAGAGAGGGAGAGGGAGAGATAGAAACATCAATGATGAGAGAGAACCATTGATCGGCTGCCATCTACATGCCCTGTACTGGGGATAGAGCCTGTAACCTGGGCATGTGCCCTTGACTGGAATCGATCCCAGGACCCTTCAATCTACAGGCTGACACTCTATCCACTGAGCCAAACCAGCTAGAACTCATTTTGTTTTTAAATAAAATTATTAGGAATGAATTGTTTCCAACTTGCTTCTTCCTGAGACAGTGAGTGAAATCCATAGTTAGTAATACTGAGTGCCATGAAGCCTGCTTAGGGCAAAACTCATGTTAACAAGTTATATCTTCAGTCTAACTCCTTCTAATGCCAGAAGTAGCGTTTGGCAGACTCCTTCATGGGACAGTTACCCAACCTGTCTTCACTGCCTTGGTGCAGAGGTCTGTGTGTGGTTCCTGGACGAGCAGCATAAGCATCACCTGGGAACTTGTAAGACAGAACTCTGGACCCACCCCAGTCTGTTGGATTAGAAACCCTGAAGCCCAGCAGTCGGTGTTTTAACAAGCTTTGCAGTGATTCTGATGCATGCTTACCGCCTGATTCAGATGTTGGAGCTGGGAAGCTGCCTAGTGGCCTTCGACACCATAATGCAGCGGTTCTCAACCTGTGGGTCGCGACCCCTTTGGGGGTCGAACGACCCTTTCACAGGGGTTGCCTAAGACCATCGGAAAACACATATATAATTACATATTGTTTTTGTGATTAATCGCCATGCTTTAATTATGTTCAATTTGTAACAATGAAAATACATCCTGCATATCAGATATTTACATTACGATTCATAACAGTAGCAAAAGTACAGTTATGAAGTAGCAACGAAAATAATTTTATGGTTGGGGGTCACCACAACATGAGGAACTGTATTAAAGGGTTGCGGCATTAGGAAGGTTGAGAACCACTGCCAAAATGCATCTAACTAGGAAGGGATCGGTGGCCTCCAGAACTGGAAGAGGGCAAGAGGTTGGGCCATTCCAGATGCTGGCTTGAGGGAACAGAGAGCATTGAGGCTGGCTTTAAAATTCATCTTTGTATTGATTGTTTGGAGAGAGTACTATCAACCAACAATATCCAAAAGAACTTTTCAGCAGCCATAGAAATGTCTGTACTTGTGCCATCCAATGCGGTAGACGCCAGCTACATGTGGCTCTTAGACACTTAAAATGTGATTAGTGTAAATGAGGAATTTTAATTTTATTTAATTTTAATTTAAATCACCACATGAGGCTAGTGGTTACTATATTGGACAGCGTAACTCTAGCTCAGTGGTTCTCAACCTTCTGGCCCTTTAAATACAGTTCCTCATGTTGTGACCCAACCATAAAGTTATTTTCGTTGCTACTTCATAACTGTAATGTTGCTACTGTTATGAATCGTAATGTAAATATCTGATATGCAGGATGGTCTTAGGCGACCCCTGTGAAAGGGTCGTTTGACCGCCAAAGGGGTCGCGACCCACAGGTTGAGAACCTCTGCTCTAGCTCCTGCTAGCTCCAAAGGACCACTCTGTTAAGACAGGCTGGTTGCAAATCAAAGCCTGTGATTCAGGGCTGGCCATGATTAGCCACTTTAAGGGAACACCTACCAAGAAGAATATAATTTCCCAAATTGGCAATGTTTTAAACCTGGGAGACTAAAGAGTGGGTGCAAGCACTATCATTTCTAAGGTTTTTAAAATTATTATTGTTATATTCAGTAACTGAGCATAAATAGCATGTTGCTGAATTGGGCTGTAATTCTAGGGAGAGTCAGTGACCACATAAACCACAGAGGTAAAGATCAGAATTTAATTTAAACCTGGTGATTATATAGGACTTGGAGGACCTGGGTTTAGGAAGACAGTAGTAGCAAAAAGAAGAGAAAGAGGAGGGAAAAGAGTACTATGGGAAAGAAAATAGAAACTGTCCCACTCATGGAGAATGCCTTGTCATCTAAAATTATTTTTAGGTTTCTGAGTTTTAAACAATCTTTCTGGGACTATTTTTAATCTTAGGGTTTCCAAATCTTAAATTTGGAGATCAGTCTCATGCTGCTGTCTGCGCTGAAAGAAGCATCTCAGCATCACATTTCAAAACAAAAGGCCAACTCAGTCAGCGTTAACGGAGGCAGTTTGCAAAAGCTGAGGCTGCTGCTGTTGAGGAAGTGGGAACAGGGATGTCAGTGCTGCCTATGTCAAACTTAAGTCCTTTCAAATAATGGGTTTGGCTCTTTGCTTGTTTCCTCCCTCTATGAATATCTATGTTCATTGGAAAAAAAAATTAAAAATACATACAAGCAAAAGAAAGGGGAGAAGATCATCAGTAAGCCCATCACTTATTGGTAAATGTCCTTTCAGGCTCTTTAAATGTCTATCTAATGTCTCTCTCTCTCTCTCTCTCTCTCTCTCTCTCTCTCTCTCTGTAAATGGTAAGTGCCATGGACAGGAAAACAATTATATATATACTAGAGGCCTGGTGCACAAAATTTGTGTCCCTCAGCCCGGCCTGCGCCTTCTTGCAGTCTGGGAGCCCTCAGGGGATGTCCAACTGACATAGAGGTGGGAGAGGCTCCCGCCACCACTGCTGTGCTCACCAGCCATGAGCCTGGCTTCTGGCTGAGTGGCACTCCCCTTGTGAGAGCATACTGACCACCAGGGGGCAGCTCCTGTGTTGAGCGTCTGCCCGCTGGTGGTCAGTGCACGTCATAGCAACCGGTTGGTTTGCCGTTCAGTCAATTTGCATATTAGCCTTTTATTATATAGGATATATGGGATAATTCTGGATGTAACATACATATAACTTGCTTTTTATTCAACAATATGTCAGTATATATATATCTGCATCATCATTTGTAGATCTGCTATAATGTTTTTAACTAGCCCCCCTAATTTTCAATAATTTGCTGTTATAAGCATTACCCTGAATATCCTATCATACATTGTTGTGCCATTATCTAATTATTTCCTTAAGATAAACTCCCAGGAATAAAATTGATGGATTAAAGGGTATACACATTATTAAGGTTTTTTATAAACCTATCAAAAATTGCCTATCATCTGTAAAAGTTGAGTTAGTTTATCCCATGTTCTAAGGATAACTGTTCTAGTCTATAAAAATGCAGACCTTTTTTTCAAAAATCACAATCCTAAACTCAGGGCCTTCCATTCTCACACTTCTGCACCCAGAGCAGCAACTCCCACTGCTTCCAGATGTGTGGCCAGAGCAGCCCTAACTCTGCTAAGTGCATTCTGTCCCGATGTCTCATTCTCATGCATGCACTCTTTTCTCTTCCAGAGTGAATTAGACGTATCCTTTTTCAATGCTGTGAGTCAAGCTTTCCACAGTATTTGGCAAAACACAGGCTAGTCTTTATCAGGTAAGTGCCATGGGCAGAAAAACAATTAGGCAGAATCTAGAATCCAGAATGCTAGTCATCAGTGACCATAACATGAAAGCCAGAGGTACAGCTGCTTTGTAGAAACACCCGCCTTTTTTGCAAAGACAATTCTTATTAAGATTTTTGTATGTTTCAGACAAGGCAGTTCTGTGGTAGTAGTTATAATAACTGTTATATATTAATTTAACTTCTCTTAAGTATACAGGATAGACCTTTTTAGAATTTAAGTAACACAGGCAGAAAGTGCGTGGTCCTTGTAGAGAGAATGGATTTTCATGGCTCCAGGTATAAATCTCCAGAAATTCCCCACATGGTCAGAATAAGGCTTCAGGGGTGATAAACCAGAGGGTTAAAGAAGTTGCCTGGCTCATCTTCATTTCCTTTTATAGCAGAGAATGCTCTCCTTTTCTTCTCTTCTCCCTTTTATTGTATTTTTTCTAAATTTATCTTTATTATTGAAAGTATTACATATGTCCCTCTTTTTTCCCCATTGACCCCCCTTAATCCCATACCAGCCTCCCTCCCCCCTCCAAGGCCTTCCCCACACTATTGTCTGTGTCCATGGTTATGCATATATTCATGTAAGTTATTATGTTAATCTCTCCCTACCTATCCCCCCACCCAGCCTTCCCTCTGAGATGCCACAGTCTGTTCCATGCTTCTATATCTCTGGATCTGTTTTGTTCATCAGTTTGTTTTATTCATTAGATTCTTCTCCCTTTTAAATCAAAGTATCCAAGGCCCCAACAAGAAGCATGATTTGCTTAGAATACTGCAGGCCTGCAGACTGTGGCAGGAGCCCACTAGGTATGTGTGAGTGCTCTGGAGGGAAATTGACTTTCAAAAATTTGTTTACCACTTGAAAGCAATAATAAAAGAGTCCTTTGAGAAAACATCAGGCTTGAATCTAAAATAGTTACACTAATTATAACAAATAGATATTAATTATAACGTGCTTATGTATATGTTGGTATACATACATTTAGACATGTATGCCCAGAGTCAGGATATTCTGAAGAAATAGCCATTTACCTTTAACTAGTGATAGAAAATGTCATCATGTTGATAAACTTCATTTTCAGGCTATATTTGAAAGCCTCTTTAAATTAACTGGGAAAATCTGCATGCCCTCTAACGGTGAGTGACCTAAATCTAGGACCCCTTTGACTTAGGAGACCCGAGACCACGCTGTATATTAGCATGTAACCTTCCATTATTTTTTTTAAATATGTTTTATTGATTTTTCACAGAGAGGAAGGGAAGGGGATAGAGAGTTCGAAACATCGAAGAGAGAGAAACATCGATCAGCTGCCTCTTGCATACCCCCGACTGGGATGTGCCCGCAACCAAGGTACATGCCCTTGGCCGGAATCGAACCCGGGACCCTTCAGCCCGCAGGGCGACGCTCTATCCACTGAGCCAAACCGGTCAGGGCTGTAACTTTCCATTTTAACTCAGCTCTTTAAAGCAATTCAAAATAAATCTCTTCCTCCTTGTACAGGGGAATAAGAACTTGCCTTTTTACTTCAAGGATGATAGTGAAAGCTGATAGACACTTCCCTGGGAATACAGAACCCAAGTTCCACTTTTGGTCCTACCACCAATTAGCTGTGTGTGTTGGACAAGTCACACAACCTCTCATCTCAAAATGATAGAATTAGACTAGAAGAGCTTTAAAGTCCTCAGCCTTAATATTTGATGTTGCTATGACTCTAGGTAACTGAGCTGAGTTACCTTACACCTGGAACAGGAGAGGAGAGTCCTACAAGGTTAGATATTCAGAGAATTAAAGTGAGTCAGATGTAACAGGATATGTAGTCAGTTGGCCTAGTTGTGTTGATGTGTCTTACATGTTGACTAGATGTTTATTAGAAGTAGAGATGGGTTTGTCTTTGGGTCCCTCTGGTGAATAGCAAAGGTCCATGTAATGAGCTCCAGCATTCTTGTTTGAATTTAATTTCCACACTAAGGCACACAACTTGTATCTTTCCCCTCATTTTGCTTAGTTTCATTTTTGCCTTCTCTTCCTCTCTGACCTAATTACTTATTTACTGTCCTAAGGAGTTATTTAGGCATATCCATCTGACAGAATAGTAATTTTTCATCTTTTAGAGAAGAAAACTAAATCTCTCAAGTGTACATCTTTGCTCTAGGTATCATTCATGGGGATCTCCAGTAGTCTAAAAGTGGAGTAGGCTGCAGGCCAGGCAAGGCCTGGGGCACTGTCTTCTATGACTTTTTTTTTTAACATGTTTTTATTGATTTCAGAGAGGAAGGGAAAGGGAGAGATAGAAACATCATTGATGAGAGAGAATCATTGATCGGCTGCCTCCTGCATGCCCCACACTGGGGATCGAGCCCCCAACCCAGGCATGTGCCCTGATTGGGAATCAAACCTTGACTTCCTGGTTCATAGGTCGACGCTCAATCACTGAGCCACACAGGCCGGGCTTCTATTGACATTCTTAAAGGGTTTTCACCCTCAGCCATCTGAAAAAAAATCAAATTAAAAATCTACGACTCTACTCTGTCTCGTCCATAGTTCTTTTTAACTATCAAATGTGCAGGGAGTACCGCTACACACCAGTTTCCTAACAGGAAGACCAGGGAGCCTTGTAGAGATGCGTCCTGTTTCCTGCTCTCTGTGTAGACCATAGACCAGCGGTTCTCAACCTGTGGGTCGCGACCCCTTTGGGGGTCGAACGACCCTTTCACAGGGGTCGCCTAAGACCATCGGAAAACACATATATAATTACATATTGTTTTTGTGATTAATCACTATGCTTTAATTATGTTCAATTTGTAACAATGAAATTGGGGGTCAGCACAACATGAGGACCTGTATTAAAGGGTCGCGGCATGAGGAAGGTTGAGAACCACTGCCATAGACGATCTGCATCACTGCTCTGGTCACTAACCAGGAACCTGCTGGAGCAGTAAGCACTGTTGAGGTCTATTTGTACCAGGAAAACTTCCTTAGGTCTTGAAGGGTTGGAAACAAACAACTGATACCATTACAACCTGGAGCAGGTTCTTCCAACACTCAGAGCACATGATCTTTCTGTATGCTCAGGCTTACGGAAGCCTTCTTTGTCAACCCAGAGCAACAGACACAATTCAGGCTCAGTTTTATGCAGCAATAGGAGGATGGAAGTCAGAACCTCAGGGAATTCCCAGAAAGTCCATGAGGCCCTGCTTCTATAAGGAAAGTGTACCCCATTACATACTTTGGTAAACTTATTTAAGACTTCAAATTCCATGAATTAAGATGGTTTTTTGGTCAATAAATAAAAATTTAAAAAAATTTTTTTGAAGATGGTTTTTAGGAATCAACTGATGAGCTTCCCAAAATGTGCTCCACTCTAGAGCCCCAGGTTTGCTGAATTCTTCAGATAATTTGTAATTCAAAGGAGCTGTCTCTACCCCCTTCTGCTAAATAGTCAAGGGGTGGCACCAGTGCACAGTGCTGTGTGGGAGATGTCCAGCTTCTCGATTCTGCACACCTACTGTATGTGCAAAGGTACAGAAAACCTTTAGCGGCCTTTGGCATTTGGTACCTTTAAAGGGGCTTAAAGACTTGGTTTATTTTAGCCAGAATGGAATGCATCAGTCCTGCCTTTGGACCTGGACAACTAGGGTCTTTTTCCTGGGCCCCCATTCTAGCCTTCAGCAGCATCCCTCTCCATGGGGTGAGGGTGCTTACCGAGAGCTTTCAGGGCCCCCCATCCATTTCTTGACTATCCTCCAACTACTTGGGCCCCAGAATTTACTGAGTACCCAGACAGCCCAGAACTGCTGCTAGGGCAGGTGCAGGCCTCTTCTCCCACCCCCACCCAAGGACTGTCGGCAGGAATGATAGCAGCTGGGATGGTAACTGTGGTAACCCCCACACACTGCATGGGGAGAAAAGCAGGGAACAGGCTGGGTCCCTACTTGTATTCTTGTGCCCCCCAAATATAGGGTATGCCTAGAAGCCAGAATGTTTTAATTGAAAAATATCTAAAGAAAAATCTTTAGAACATTAATTATGAGCTGTTTTTATTTTACAAGTCCTTAAAGCCCAAAAGCCTGAGCAGTTAATTCCAGAACCTTACAGCTCGTGTGGGTAATGTGAAAGTACCCTGACTCATGCCCTCTTTATCAAAGTTGAGGGTGGGGAGTAGGAAGGGTCTCCATCCTGCTTGCACTGCCTGTGACTCAGGCAGTTACAGACCATGGTGCTTCCTGGAGGAACGAACGCACCAGGTAACGGAATTCATGCGCCTCCAAGATTGGCAGGCAGGCCCCGATCACTGCCCACAGTGGGGCATCTCATTCCTTCACTACCGTCCTAAAATCCCAAACACTTGTAGAGATCCAGAAACCAGAATAGGGCTTCTCCAAGTAGGAAATGATTTCAGCCTAACTTAATGAGAAATCACAAAGTACTTGTTCAACTAGGGGCTATGGAAATACTGGCAAGATGAACAAAGAAATCCCCCAGTGAGCCATTCTACACTGAGGTAGCAGCTTCTAGAGAACTGAATTTTTGTGTTGTCCAGAAAGTTATAATAATTAAGTCATTACAAAAGGGTTTCTTTTGAGGTGTGATGGAGCCTACATCAGGAATGACTTGATAATATCAGAAAGGAGTAAAGTGGCTCCCTCTCCCTGAAGGTTACTTTTAGTCAGAGGACTTGAGTGCTTTAAAGTTGGAAAACTTCTGAATCATCAGGTTAAGACCTCACGTTTTAGATGAAGAGGCTGAGGTCCTGAGAGGTTCTGTGACATGCGTCCCAATCCATAGAGCGACTTTGGGGCACAGCTGGTATTCTGGGTTTCCAAGGTGCTTGACGCTAGGGCTATAAATTAGATATAAGATTTTTTAAAAATTCATAATCATCTGGAGATTATGGCAATCTAGTCACTATTTTAAAGTGCCTGTCACCATGCTGTCTTGGTGTTGTCAAAGTTTTTTTTCTGAATTAGGGAAGTCTTAGAGAAACAGTAGTCTTTGGTTGGAGGAGTCAAAATGAAGAAAAATCTTGAGAGTATCTGAATGTCTTGATAAGAGCATGCTCTCCAAAAGTGGGGTTCACGTTCAGAGATTGCTAAACATCTCTTCCTTTTGGAAGCATGTAAGTTGAAAGCTGGGCTGGAAGGGGTGAGAGCTGGCCCTGGACTTGAGGGAATGTGTGCAGCCCGTGCCGTGTTCAGAAGGGCAGGCAGGCACTGAGCCGAGGGGCAGCACCCTCCCAGCAGGTCCCCCAGAGCTGCCATGAGCGGGGAGTCTCAGCATTATGAGCCGTCAGTCCCCAAGAGTCTACTAGGAAAGGGATGTGAATGTTCCAGATTAAATGGCTGCCTTCCAGGCTTTTGGGGCTCTCACTAGCCTTAGCCATATATTCCCTTTAAATGTGTTGAGTCCTTGAGGTGTCATGTCCAACTGCTGCTCTTCCTCCCAAAGTCCCTCTGCCTTCCCCCCTTCTTTTCCCCCTGCATCTGGTTCTGTTTGACTCAGGAATGGTGACAACAAGTCATGAGAAGCAACAGTTAGGAAAAAATACAAGACAAATGACAGGCTTATTTGACTCAGCACTGACTTTCATATTTAGGTAATGTTTACATAAGCCTACATAAACTTTAAAAAAATTACACCTGGATGTTTTGTTGCTCTCAGAGTAGGAATGGGTCTTTAAGGCAAACCTACTTTTAAAAAAAGATATATTCCTGTTCTGTGGCCTAATTAATGAGAGACAATGCTAAGCCGTAAGCAAACAGAAGACTATATTACAGGGAGTGTATCCAGGACTGCAGAACCTTCATGCGGATAGTTTCTACATGGTAGTAGTGGGCTTTCTGTGCGGAATGGGAACATAACGGCCTTTCGCAGGTTATCTAATTTCATGGGAAATTCAAGTATAAATAATGAGAGCAAGTTTTTTCCTATCTTCATGTATTGAAGAACTTCGCCTAGCTAAGAGAGTGAAAGTGAGAGAGAGAGAGAGAGAGAGAGAGAGAGAGAGAGAGAGAGAGAGAGGGAAAGGATTAAGACCAAAGTCTAGTTAGAAATTTCAGTTCTAGACTGGACTCTGCTTGGAGTTGTTTCTGAGGTCCCATTTGAATGCACGCTGCTCAGTTTCTCTTAGAAAAGATTAAAGGGTAATTAGGCCACCACAGTGGTGTAAAAACACCGTGTTGAAAGTGTTTTATGATCCAGAGATCAAAATTCCAATGCAGAAACCACAAACAGTTCAATCCCTTTAATTAAAAAATTGATTTCAAGTGGCAGTAGCATTAGTGGGGCCTCAAGATGTTCAACTCCAATCTACATTACATAGAATTCACAAAGGCTTCTGGGCTTCGGGGTTAGGAAAAAATGGGGCTTTACGAATCTGCTCTTTGGAGCGCTGTTTCCAGCTCCTATCAGCTCCAACCTTAGGGTGCCTATGAAGGGAAACACAGTGTATCCAGGAACTTATGTCTGCCAAGTTCAGTATAGCCTGAAGGTAGGACCTTGAAATCGTCATCCTCAGCTCACCATATTAATAGACCAGCAGTCTAGCCTTTCTTGTTTTGTACTATTCCTGTCATGGTTGAAGTGGGTGTGCCCATTTTTTACCATGGGTTTGGCATATAGGGTATTTTTTTTTATTCCTGCTCACCTGGCATTTGGCCCAAATGCCATTACTCTTGGCTTCACCAGTGTGCACAAGTGGCTCATAAACCAAATCAAGATGTGACCAACAGCTAGATTATTTTAAAGGAGTCATATGATTCCAGGGGGAAACCAGCTTTCAGGCTGTTGCCTCACATAGGATTTGGTCTGTGGTTTCCCTATATAGTGCCAGAAAGCTGCATGATTATTAGCGGTTTGAGCCAGATACTCAGATAGATAGGCAGTCACATGCCCACAGTACAAGATGACCTCACTGAGCAACTCATGTTTCCTGGATGTTGGGAAATTCAGGCTAGCCGAAGAACCTTGTCCTTGCAATGTGAGGATGTTGGTGGTTGATAATGATTCAGCAGTACATTCTAATCTGAATTTCAAAACAATTAGCCAGTTGCTCAAGGGGACATCTGAATTGCTGATCATCTACTTTCCAGAGATGGAAGTCTTCAGAGTAGCTTGATCCCTGAACCAATTCAAATAGATTAAAATTAGATCTTTTTCTGTCTCAAAGAAAATTATCTTGGATGAGTTGGCATTCCCAAAGGCACTGTTTTCATTGCCCTGAGTGAATACAGCAGGGGGATTCTCCAGGGCATTTTACATGCAGCCACCTGTGCTCCCCAACTCCGCCTTTGTAACCTGCTATCATTCCTGCCTTGTCTTGGCTTCTTTTGAGTTCTGGCTTCGGGGTCTGGTGAGCAGGATTGAGTCAAGGGCCTAATATTTCAGTCCCAATTTGGCCATGGACAAAGCAGTCACCTATATAATTGGAAGACATTATTAATAGGTATATCCGAGTAAAGCTTTTTTTTTTTTTCTGGGTCACTTAAGGACAGTTCCCATGGGCTTCTGAAAAACAGTTTATTCTGCTGGAGGACTATTTGCACAGAGCTTAATGAGATGTTACCGCAGAGCCTAATAGAAACTTAAAAGTCATTCACAGGGTTGTCTCATTCTCTATAAATGTACTTCACTAAACATATACAATATAGACTTGGACATCTGGAATTACTGAAAAAAAAATCAGGTGGTAATGATTCATTTTATACACATTTATTTAAATATGAATTTCCTTAGTGCATTTAATCACTTATTTGTTGGAAGTTTGTCCACTGAAACAATCTGTCAGCTGTTGTGTGTTTTAACAGATCAGGATAATGCTCTTTAAATAGAAATGGAAACTTAGATTCATAAACATTCAATCATTGTCATCACCTCATTCGTTTCACAAAAGTAAAGTTAGGTACTCAAATGAAGGGTCTTCTGGAGGAAGTATTTGGCTCTTTCCAATTAGGTAAACATCACAGTCTAACAATATTTTCTTCTTCCCCCTGCCCTATACTAACTTTCCAGTAAGAACATCAGTAAACTAAAGTGACTCCATAATTCTCAAATGAGTATTTTTAGAACTGTCCATTTATAAGAGGTACTGTCTTGAAATTCAGAATTTTCATCTACTTGGGAATTGAGTCCGCATTGCCTTGCCTTCGTCATTCATTTCTCCTAATGGTTATTTTTTCTTCAGCCCTGACAAGAAGAGAGTTTAAAATGCAAGGTCATAAAGGCATTTATTATTGGGTGGAGGTTTGAAGGCTGAATGAGGGCATATACTCAGTAGCCTAAGGCCCCTGCTGAGAAATCTGGAAGCAGAGCAGTCAAGGCCAAACTTTGGGCTGCAAGTCCAGCTCTGGCTATTACTATCTATGTGACCTTGGACAATGGCTTTGAGCCTGTTTGCTCCTGTGTAAAATGAGGATAATATGTAACATGTACATCATAGAGTTGTAGAAAAGGCTAAAATAGTATGTAAAACAACCAACACAATGCATGGAACACAGTGTGTAGTCAGTAAATCATGGCTGTTACTGCTATGAGACAACATTATTCTTTTTTTTTTTAATATATTTTTATTGATTCCAGAGAGGAAGGGAGAGGGAGAGAGAGATAGAAACATCAATGATGAAAGAGAATCAATTGGCTGCCTCCTGCATGCCCCCCACTGGGGATTGAGCCCACAACTGGGGCATGTGTTCCCCGACTAGAATTGAACCCGGGACCCTTCAGTCCTCAGGCCAATGCTCTATCCACTGAGCCAAACCAGCCAGGGTGAGACAACATTATTCTTGAGGCCAAGTCATGCTCTTGCCAAATGTCACTTGCTATGTTCTCCAGCCCTTAGTGGATTCCTTCTCCCTCTGGCTAACAGGTGTAGCTGTTCCATTTCTATGCCTGTAGTCCAGTTAGGTGTATCTGTGTACATGAAGGTAATAATTTCTAATATGGACACCAATTTAAAATTTGTTCAAGAATAGTGTAAAATAAACTAACAAAACACCTTCATACTTAGCCTGGGATTTTTCCAGTGTAAATTAGTCTGAGTCCTAAGTTATTATTTATTTAATGTTAACATTTTTATAACTCTAAAACTAATTTCCTTAATATGACTTTAGATAATGTTTAATTTGGATAAAGTACACATCATTTTGGATGAGATGCTATTAAATGGCTGCATTGTAGAAACGAATCGGGCAAGAATTCTTGCCCCTCTACTAATTCTTGATAAGATGTCAGAAAGCTGAATAACGGAAGGCTCTGCCAGGAATCGTCGAGACAAGAAATGAGAGCATGGAATACCTCCTAGCATTTGTAGCCCAAAGAATCTGAAGAGCACACTGCAAAATGGGGCATCTTTCCAAAGACATTTTAAATAGGTGTTTTTCAGTTCATAAATGGAAAACAAAACTGTATTTTAAAATATGTACAAAGAAAAATTTTCTCTGAGAGATGTTTTATTTTCTAACATAAACATTTCCCCCCACTTGTTTAAGTTTTATTAAATAAAATGTTGGTTTCTCCTTCCCTTTGCAAATTAAATTCAGGAATAGCACCATGAGGTGGGAAGTGTGGCAGCTCTTTATCAGCCAATAAAAATGTAGAACTGGCAAACATACATAGCACTTTGTCTTCTGAATATGACTGTCTAACTACTATGCTGTACTGAAAGTTTTGTAATTGATATATGAAAACTTTTAAAAAGTCTTAAAAAGTCAAAATTTTAGGGGTGTGGGTAAAAAAAAAAAAAGTCAAATTTTACTATGTTGTGTGTCTAATGAAAACATCAGGATTAAATTTCATTTGCCAGTTTCTAAAAGTGTGCGATCCATTTTATGGGCACTTGGCAATTACAATGCCATCATGTAATTAACTAGAGTATGTTACTACCAATACTACTAGTAAATGGTTAAACATTGAAAGAGTCCTTACCTCTTGGCACACCATGGCCCCTGGGCACCCAGCATGCACTGCCCTGCTGCCCAAGAGGAAGCTCAGCTCTGCCAAGAGAGCAACAGAGGAGCTCAAAGGGAGATTGGAGAGGTTGTCGGCTAAACCTGCTTCTGCAAAAGTGGAAACGAAGCCAAAAAAGGCAGCAAGAAAGGGTAAATCTGCAGACAAAACAGTGCGTATCAAAAGGGAAAGGGAAGTAAAGGGGAAACAGGCCAAGTGACTAACCTACAGATCTACCTGCGGAAAACAAACTAAAAATGAGGCAAGTCCAGCCTCAGATGAAGCAGGAGAAAAAGAAGCCAAGAATGATGAACACCATCATATGCCATGTCTTAACAGTGGTCCCTGTCTCCCTTCTTATACATTAAAGAGGAATATTTTTGTCAACTATTCTGTAAATGCAAATTTTTTTAGTAGCCATAGAAACATTGATAGAGGGAATTCCACCTCACCTCATTGTGTGTGTGTGTGTGTGTGTGTAAATGCTTTTAAGAGGTGAAATCATTTGCTGGCTTATTTTTTGGTACAACCAGGAAATAGTGGGATACTGAATATAGTAGACTTTGATTGTCTTGGGTGCCTGCTTAACATTCCATAAACAGGGATAGTTCTTATATCTTACAGTACAAAGCATACCAAGTGGCAATTTGGAGTCAGTTGCGTATTTTCTAAGTCTTGAACATTTTAAATTACTTCTATTCCCATATTGGTAGAATTGTTTCCTAAATTAAACTCCTTGATCTTGGCTCCCCCTGTTAGAATTTTGTGCATCTGTAACATCTTTGGTGTGATAGTCCAGTTTTACTAGTAACTTTGTTAATGTGCTGTGAAAGATCAAAATTTTGATGTAGTATATCTATTAAATTGTGAATTAGTGGGACTTTGATGTAACAGCGTATCTACATTTGAAGATATTGGTAATTGATACTCTATTAAGGAAAATTAACCTCCAATTTTTAAACTGGAAAGTCACTAGAATAACTTTATAAATGAATCACAACTACAAGACTTCATTCTTGGTACATATGTTAAGAATTGTGTACAAATTGAAATGTCTGTGTACTTTTCCTCAAAACAACCAATTAAATCTCAATTATGAAAGAAAAAAAGAGAGCCCTTACAACTATCCTTTATGCCATATTATAAAGGTTTTGTCTTATTAAATGGTAAATGAAGTTTACTTTAATTCAACGTTTAAAAATAGAATTCAAAGGGTATCTCTGTTCACCTTGGCATGAAAGGAATCCTTCTCCCCCCTCCCTTATTCCTTCAACCCCTTCTCCTGGAATGTCTGGAAAACTGCTACGTCGCTATAAAAGAGCAGTGCTCTAATCCCCAGGCCCCAACCTTTCTAGATGCTTTTGCTGCTCAGTCAACAGCAGAACATACAGAATTGTCTTAGGTAAACACACACACACACACACCCAAAACATGTTTATGTGTATGTAGGGGTGAGGGTAGGTGCAATGGAGGAAAAAGGAATATAGGTATATTAAGATATCATACTAACCATTGGAATTCCAAGACCTCTTTCATCTACAATACTTTCCTGCAAAAGAACATAAATGGACATTCTACACAAATAATTCATTCAGTACAGTTTGATGTTTCCTCTCCTGTGTGTGTGGAGGAGGGGATTTTGTTTAAATTCGAGCTCTGTTCATGTATTTCAAAGTTTACATCTGTAAAGACACATGCATCGAGTCAATAATAGGCTCCAAAAATAAACCTGAGTTGTTCTGGACTCATTCAGAAAGGCAGAGAAACATTTCTGACCTTCTGGATCAGTGAGTGGTACTTTGCATTAAGTAGCCAAGGTCTGGGAAAGCCCGGCCTAGATCAAAGTGCTATAGAGGTTTTTTGGAGACATTATTAGTTGGGAAACACTGTCCTAGTTGGTAGGCACTTAAATCAGTAGCACACTGAGGTAACTGTTGAAACTGGTACATCAGAAGTAACTAGGGAGTGAACAAAATTAATTTTTGGGTCACACCAAAATAGCACTTGAATAACATCTTGGCACAGATTTTAGTACCTTTAGAGAATAACAATTAAAAAATATATACCAGGCAGATACTATAGGAAAAAATACTCAAGTACCTAGAATATGTGGAGACCCCGGTAGATGCCACATAGCACTTGACTCATGAAAGTGAACTGAAATGTGACTTCTTACAGGTTGTGTTATCTCACTTCAGATTAACTGCTGAACTGTACCAGCTTTAAGTGATTTCACACTCATGAAATTTATGTCTCTGATTGGTCAGCTTTACCTTGTTCTTTGACTTTTCTTTCTGCAGGAAGACTTCTGACATTTCGAAGTTACTAATTTTATAAGACTCATCTATTTTACCTGCTCTGCAAACTTTTCTATAAACAGCCAGACAGTAAGTATTTTAGGCTTTCTGACCCATATGGTCTCTGTTGTACCATTGTGGCACATAAATGAATACGCATGGCTGTGTCCCAATAAAAGTTTACTTGTGGACATGAAGTTGAATTTCATAAAATTTTCACATTATAAAATATTCTTTTTACTTTTTCTTTCAATCACTTAAAAATTTTAAAACCATGCTTAGCCTCATAGGCTTTAAAAAAACAGACGGCTTGCTAACTCCTGTGCTAGGTTGGTCTTGAAAAAGCTAGCTATTGACAGACATTTCAAAGACATAAATAATGGCTGTACTACACACATATACTGGATTTGAACTCTAATACTAGTATGAAGTTTTTGTCATACACCCACAACATTATTGAGATGATCACCACCACTAGTTTTTGGATGAAAGCATAGGTCATACATTTAAATACTGCTATTATGTTTTATTTTAACTTTTATTCTCACAGAGAACTGTGAAGCTAACAATAAGGTAAATTATTTAAATGCCTCTGATTACATAGTTACAACATTCTCATGCAGAGAATAAAAACAGTACTCAAAAGATTAACTATATTGGGAGATATCTCTTCTAATATAGAAAAGGAACATACCTTTTAAACAGGTAAATAAATGGGCAATTCCAAAAAATGCTTTTCACTCCTAAAAAAGTTACTTGGCTAAATCAAGCCTAGCAACATTTCTTTCACCTAAATGCACAGATGTGATAAATCAGAGGAGTTTGGAAAATGTAAATAGAGCTCCTTCTTTAAAACTAGAAAATAACGCCGTGGCCGAGCCACTCATTTGGTTGGAGCATCCTGTACACCGGAAAGTCACTGGTTCAATTCCCAGTCAGGGCACGTACCTAGGTTACAGGTTTGATGCCCAGTCTGGGCCCCTACAGGAGGCAACCATCTCTAAAAATCAATTTTAAAAAATCAAACGAACAGCAACAACAACAAAAAACTAAACACACCAGAAAATAGCAGCATCCTGGCGGTTTCTTTTGACACTAACACAATATTAAAAAATCAATCTTGCATCTTAGATTTACACATCCCTGCAGATACAATGGTAAGTAGCGGATCTGGTATTTAAAAAGTTAACAGAAATAAATGGGCCTTTTTAGCTAACGAATACTTTAACACAGAACACAACAGTTGGATCACAATTAAGCATATGAACATATTTCTAGCTTTCCAGTTTCAGTAAGAATGTATAGAAAAATA